TAAACATGCGGAAATTATTACGAAGAATCTTTCAAATCGAGGACTAGGTAAGTTAGAAACCTAAAATTATTGAGAAGAGAAGACAACAGACAGCTTTTTTAACCCTTTATTTTGTGATAAAATATCAATTACTAGTAAAAATGCAATATTTAAACAAAAATAAAATCGTGACAAAAAACGAGTGCGTGACATTTTAAAAATCGCTAATTAGCTCAAAAATTACGTACAATTAAAGCTGTTTGCTGAGCTTCCCGGACTAATTAGCTAATTGGAAGTGAAAATTATCATCAACTTATTCAAAGATCTGTCATAAATCCATGCATTAAAAAATCCACTGGCTTGAATTTTCTTTTTTCAAATGTTTCACAAAAAAACGTGTGATTTCGATATCTTGTCTTGTTTCTTGTAAATTCTCAAAAGCATAGCACCCAAGATGAGAAAAAAGCAGGGACTTCCTGTTTTCCTTCAGAAAAAATTAGCTTTCTGTTTCGAATTACGGCTTATCGCAATATCAACGTGAATAAATACAAAAATTATCAAATCTGCTCGGTTGTCAGTTTGGGTATCCTATTTTAATGATACCAGTAGCATACTCCCACAGGCTGGATGGAATTACACTAGGCCCTTCAATCTTGATATGCTGTTGCGAAAATCCGTCAAAAGCCGCAAAGAAGCTGTCACAAAAGGCAAGAAAAAAAAAGAAGCGCATTACTTTAAAGGCAGATACACAGTAGAAGTGATCCCAGGCTGTCCTGGGATATGAAAGAAGGTGGTGCAGTGGTTTAGCAAGTCGCGTCCGCAAGTGAAGACAAGTGGTTCGATTCTCTCTTGATCTAAACCCCTCTGCAAAAAAGGGCATTTTCACGACAGATGCGTACCTCTAAATATCTGTTGACTGTCTCTTGTAAATACGTATGTTACCTTCGGGAGAGACTGAAGGGTCGTTCAGTTCTTCGTGTGCACCACTATATAATGTTAACCACTCATTGAGGTAAGCCATCGAGTTTTATTTTCTCGCATGGTCGCTATGATATCTTGCATGCTCGCTACGATATCTTGCTCATAAAATTAGCAATTGTAAAAATAAGTGATACTAATGATAATAAATGCTGCTTACCGCAACGGCTCTCCTTTGCGTACGCTTAAATCGGGCATTACAACAATGGTAGCAGAATTCATAACAGTTCCATTGGTACTTTCGTCCGACTCTCCGGAATTTTCGGATTTTTGAGAGTTTCCCAGCAGCAAATCTGCATCCATGTTAGCGAACGAAAAATTATTACTGCTATTGCTATTTCTACTGACAATCGTTGGATGAGAAAGCGCGCAATGTTGGCGTAGTTGCAAGCTTGAACCGAATCGCCTTCGACATCGAAGGCAGAAGAAATGTGGATCTTGATCGTTTTCGAGATTGCTGCTACTGGTGCTTTCGTTACTTTCACCTGTTCTTTTTGGAAAAAACCAGCAATAGGAACATTGCTGTTGTTGTTTGATAAAAATAAGCCGCTCAATCGGTTCCAAACCAATCGGATGCGTTTGTGAGTCATCAATTTTGGATGCCGAAGCAGCAGCAGCACCGGAATATTCGGTTATCACCAATGTTGTTCCAACCTGTCGATAGCATCCTTCAAAAGGCACCTGCAAGCAAATTTTTACAAATCCTGAAAACTGGGACCGTCACAACTATTAGTGCAGAGCAAACCTCGCAGTTTAGAAACCTTTGCAAAAGTCCCTTTTGATTCGAACCTACGTCCATCACCTTTGAAGTGCAGCTTTAAAAATCCAGAAAACTATGGTGTTTGATTGCTTGAAATGACTACTATTTCACTGTTGATTCATTAGCGATGTAGTCGACAACCATAACGTTTTTTTCTTAATAACTTAATAAGAAACTGAGATCTTGAAAAAATTTTCAGGAACTCCAGTCAACACAGAATAGCTAAGCCCGGCGTGTAAGGCCCATCTCAGTAACATTATTAACATGGGATGCTGTTAGCAATTATCTGGAGGATCTTATCAATTTTGGAAATCAACAGTTTTTGCAGTACTAAACAAATTTTGTTGATAACAGCTTCAGTCACATTTAACTTTTGGGCAAAATCATGGCATCGGTGCTAATAACATCATACATTAAAATAATAGTTTTATTTTATGCAAAAATTCTCCATAACTTGATGAGATCACTTCAGAAGAGTATAACTAAGAAAAATCCCCCAGAATGGAAAACATCAATTATCCTTAATCTCCGGTTTCATAGGTGGCCAAGAGTGCTATAGCCCGAAAAAACTTCGCTGGTCAGATACAGTTACGTCTCTGGTTAGAATCAACTGTTTGTTCGATCTATGCACACCACCTCTTCGGTGATCGCCCAAGTAGTAACGCATCTTTCTCTCTAAATATACACTAGACCGTAGAAGAACTCTGTTGATAAAGGCTTTTGGGCCAAAGTCGACTTTTGGGCCAAATACAAGAGAGTTCAGAAGAAAGTTATTTGCAGCAGTAGCCGAATTTCTCT